AACAACAACAACAGTTGGGTCATGGTTTTGTTCTGTTTTATTTAAGAACAATGAATGGGGAAATATGATAAGGCTACCTGAATCTGCTCATCTGTCTATTGCATTTAAGGTTCTACTTTTTTTTTTAAGCAGTAACATTTATCGTTAAATACAGTGCCTTGAATGAAATCCTATAGCACCACACTAGGACTCCATTTCAGCTCGCTAATGTCTAAGATAACAATCTTTATCTGTTCCATTTCATTTTTTATAATTTCCAATTTTTCTAGATTCATACTTCCTACATTCCATGTTCTGATTATTAATGGATGTTTACAATTGTTTATCCTCTTTAGAGCTGTACTCTATCAGTAAATGAAGGTCCCAAAAACTTTAGTCCATTCGCGTCAGCATGATCAAGTCTGCTTTGAGGAGGTAGTTCTCTTCCCCTGGAGTATTCTGAGTGTCTCCCAACCTGAGGGGCTCATCTTTTGGCACTATATCTAACAATTTTTTGGTGATATTCACCATGTTTCAATATCCAATATCCTGGTGCTGACAATGTTTCACTGATATTCATAAGGTTTTTTTCAGTGGCTAAACATTCAGAAATAGTCTGCCTCTTCTCCTTCCTAGTCTGTCTTTGTCTGGAAGCTTAGCCGAGACCTGTCCACCATGGTTGTACCCTGCTGGTATTTAAAATCCTGGTAGCATAATTTCCAGCACCGCAGTAACACACAAGACACCACAGTACAACAAACTGACAGATTAGAGGTAGCAGAGTTCCCTAAGAACATAAAACAACCACTTAAACTGGGTATAATTCAGGTCTATTAACTGACCCATTGTTGAACTATATGGTGTCCATTGCTTGCCTAAAATAGCTTCTATAATAACCACTGCTGGTGTTGTTATTAAGTGCCTTTAAGTCAGTTCTGACTCATAGAGACCCTGTATAGGGTTTCCAAGGAGCAGCTGGTGAATTTGAACCAATGGTCTTGTGGTTCAAACCAACCCCGTGGTCTAATGCATTATCCCACAGTGTCACACCAGTACTCCAAATATTGCTGTGATTATCCTAAAATCATAGGAACATATCTTTTTTCTATATCATGTGAACCAAAAATTTGTAATTATAACTTACCTACAAATGGCCCCATGTCCAGGCATAATGTCACACTTTCCATCGTTCAAGCAGAAGTCAGGCTGTAGGTCACAGAGACTCTGACAGGGCAGTTCTTCCACACTCAGGTACCCAGGGTAGCATCTGCACTCTGCTTCTCCACTCCAGGAATTCACCAGACACTCCGAAAAGTCATTACAGGCCTGAAACTTGCAAGGATTTGCCTGATCACCTAAAACCTCAAACAAAACAGAGAATGGTGCAAGGAAAGGCAAAGCACAGAAATTGAGGCACATGAAGCTCATTCACTAAAGCTCCCTTAAAAATACCAAGGGAAATTTCTCTTGAACCATTAAATTATATTATCACCATCAACACCACTAAAAAACTTTTACTCATCCTTGATTAATGAGCTTCTTTCAAATTTCTCTGAAATTTAGAATGAAAATCATAAAATCCCATGACCTGGGTATTTAAACTTCATGTCATGTAATTGTAAATCTAAATTTAACAGTGTCCGTGTGCTGTTCATTTACACCAACCCTATTCTGCTCTTACGTACCTCTACTCTGCATACAATGTTACGTGGAATAGAGAGAAAGAACCCAGAGAAGAACTGGTGGGATCCTCAGCGATATATATTTAGAGTAGCTTGGGAACACTGATGATCATGTAAGCAAATATAAAAAAATTAATTAGCCCTGTACATGCCCAGCCATTTCCAATACTATTTTGGCTTATGTAATTTTATTTTTCATTTATAGTATGAGGGGAAATTACCTTTTTTTTTTCATGAGTTAGGACAATAGCTAGCCAAAAAAAAAATGAGTTAAGACAGTGGACATGTGCCTTCCATCCTACCACAATTCCGCCATCTTCATTGGTGAATAGCAATCTGTGAATAGCATATGGACAAGTGGTGACATAGATTCCCAAAACTGTGAAAATCACCCGTATCATTCTCTATGAAAAAGTGTAAATTTTGGCTAGGATAACAGAAATTTTTTCAAAAAAGAAAACATCTCTGGGTTTCCAGTCCTAATGTTTTTAAAAAAAAAAAAAAAAAACCAACAACAATGATTTCCTTGCTATTCATGAGATTGAAGACAAGGTTGCACTAGTGTATATAGCCTTGCAGTATGGATAATCTCCCTTGGCCCTACATAAAAATAGGAAACACCACCAAGATGGTCACATACAAGGAGAATACACAAACATGATGACATATAGACAGATAAGCAAGGGGACTGCACTGTAAGATTTCACTGTATATTTCCTACATCTTAACAGACTTACACTAGAATTAATTTGGTGATCTTGTAATCAGAAAATAATCTAAAACTAGTCTAGCAATGAATGAGGGGAAGAAGAGGAGATGGTATTACACAGTTCCCCTTGTTGATAAAAGTTCAAGAGTTTCTAAGAGCTGCATATGAAAACAAGTTATGCAACAGACAAGGCAATCTTAACTCTAGCCAATCTTGAAAGAAAAGTTTCATCTGAGGTAATTCAACTAGAAATATACATGCACTAGGAAAATTATTTAGAAAATTGTAAAGCTTTGTGACTAGTCTTTGGGGGTGGGTGAGTGGTTGCAGGGAATAAAATAGACCCTGTTTTTATTGTTGCTAAGTGCCGTTGAGTTGGTTCCGACCCATAGCGACCCTGTACGGGGTTTCCGAGGGTGTAAATCTTTACGGGAGTAGAAAGCCTCATCTTCCTCCCGCGGAGTGTCTGGTAGTTTTGAACCGCTGACCTTAAGGTTTGCAGCCTGATTCGTAACCACTACGCAACCAGAGCTCCTTCTAGAAGAGGAAAATAATATATGTTGCTCCCTTTTGTTTTTAGATCCAAGAAAAAAACTAAACGTAATGTTTTACTCAAGTAAAAAAAAAGGTTGATTTCTGTTTCTTTCCAGTTCTTTGTGCTGGCAAAGGGAGATGCCCAGAATTGTTGCTGTTGTTAAGTGCCATTGAGTCGATTCCAACCCATAGTGACCCTGTATAGGGTTTCCAAGGAGCAGCTAGTAAACTTGAACCACCAACGTAGCGGCTCAAACGACTTTGCAGTCTGATGCATTAGCCCACAGTGCCACACAAGGATAGACAGATCTACATTTGGAAGAGTTCCTTAATGACTTCATGGGAAAACAAAAGTCGATTTGGAGCTACATTTGAGATAGAAGATGAGGTCCTAAACTGCAGCATCAAGGACTTTCTGGTTTTCTAAGGGATAATCCAAAAGAAGGATTGATGGTTTCAGGAAAATAAATATGGAGGAAATGTGAAGAGTATCTAGAAAAATATGCTGCGTTGCTAGAACTGTTTAAGTCCTGGATAAAAAGTTGACCAGTAAGAAATGCCTTTGAAGGAATGTCTGAGGAATTTTGAAGATGGTGGTGCCTAACAGGAGAACTTTAAGTTGTTTGTTGTGATAAAAGTCTGTTGCAATTATCCTCAGCAAATATCTGATCAAATCAACTGCCTTGTGTTAGAGATACTTTGGGAAAATCACAATCAGGGAACTGGGTTTGGTTAACAAAAAGAACAAACACAAGGGTCAAGACACAACTGAAATTGAGAATTCATCAGGAGGAACTCAGAGCTGGAAAATAATTAAGAAATTTTAGTTCCATGAGAATCCCTAGAGTTAGGAAGAAAGGATTTCAAACTTACTTACTGTCCTAATAAGGGGTTCATGTCAGTTCATCTAAATATTAAAGGAAAATGTAATGCTATAAACCTGAATGATTGACAAGCAGTTGACTTTTGAGTGATATACAAAAATGAAGTAAATGCACTGATTTATTGAACTTCTTTCAAAAGAAATGGATTTACTATTATAAGTGCTGTATTAACCAAAACTGCTTGCTTTTGTAGGGGCAAATGCTTTTATGTATATTATTTGTTTACTCCTTAGTATAGTCCTATGAAAAACACAAAGCACAAAATATTATCCCCATTGAACATATGAGAGAACTGAAGCTCAAAGATAAAATAATTCAGATAGGGTCACACAAGTGATACATAGTGAAGGAACGAATCCAAATCTTCCAAATTATAATTGCTTCTTCCCCTACACCACTTGACAAAGCATGCACAAACAACCTTATATTATTCAAGTGGCAAGAGATTTGGATACTTGGGATTGGTTAAATCATTTCCCTCGCTTTTAATGAATAATGGTCATTCAAGGAATTCAGGGGAAAGAATGCTTCTTTCCCAGTAAAGATCAGGGATAACTTCCAAACCAGCGTTGAGAGTAAAAGGCACTTAAGAAAAAGGAAACCAAACAGTCTACCTTACTCCCACTCTGTCCTGTGATCTACAGAAAGGAAAGAATAACAAAATTTAAAGACCCAACAGTGTTATCAGCATACAAGTCTTCTAACTAAAGACAATGGTTCATTACATTCTTTCTCAGTATAGATTGAGTACCCTCTGTATGTAAAGCATGGTACTAGGTTCTGGCTGTTGTTGTTAAGGGCCATTGAGTCATTTTGACTCATACAGACCCTGTTTAGGGTTTCCAAGGAGCAGCTGGTGAATTTGAACCACCAATCTAGCAGTTCAAACCGACCTTGCAGTCCAATGCATTATCCCACAATAACACACCAGGACTCCAGGTTCTAGCTAGACAATCATTAATAAAAAAGGTATACTATCAGTTCTTGCAGACATCTTAACAGGAAAAATGCATTTAAGCAATTATGCACATAAATTAGCATTGATACAATGTTGATAAAATCTACAGGAGAAAAAAAATCACGATGTTATAAGAAAGACTACAAAGGATGATCCAATCTAGTTTATGGAGTCCTGGTGTGAGTCTTAGGATAAGCATTGGGCTGCTAACTACAAGATTGGCTACTCAAACCCACCAGACACTCCTTGGAAACACTATTCAGAGTCGCCATGTGTCAGGTTGGTGTGGTGCTGTGGGATCAACACTGGACTGTGAACAGAAAGGTCGGCAGTTTAAGCTCACCAGCTGTTCCTTGGAAACCCTAACAGGGTTGCTAGGAGTCAGAATTAACTTGAGGGCACTTAACAACAACAACAAATAAGTTGGACAGCACTTAACAACAAAAAATAATCTAGCTAATGGATGACTCTGTAAAAGCCTCAAGGAAGCAGCATTTGAACAGATGCAGGAGACAGGAGAGAGCAGGACAGTGTTTCAGGCAAATGGGATAGTATGTGCAATGACCGGCCAGGAAATGTTTTCTATATGTGAGGGAATACAAACAAGCTAGTTGGACTAGAATATGGCAAGAAAAGAGGTTAGTTTTATCGGATAAAATTAGAGAAGATAGGAACCAGGCCTTGCAGTTATTAAACCAGGAAGATATTGAAATGATTTAAGCAGGAGAGTGAAATTATCTTACTGTGTTTTTTGGGGTATTTTTTAGAAAGAACACTCTGCCCTCTGTCTGGAAATGGACATGAGGAGGAGCAAGAGAAGGAATTCACTTGTCTGTCAGTTTGCTACACTGTGATGGCTTGTGAATTGCTGTGATGCTGGAAGCTATGCCACTGGCATTTTAAATACTGGCAGAGTCACCCATGAGAGACAGGTTTCAGCTCAACTTCCAGACTAAGACAGACTAGGAAGAAGAGGCAGACTACTTCTGAATTTTAGCCACTGAAAACCTTATGAATATCAGTGAAACATTGTCAGATAGCACCAAAATATTAAATATTGAAACATGGTGAATACCACTAAAAAACTGTTAGATATAGTGCCAGAAGATGAGCCCCTCAGGTTGGAAGGCACTCAAAATACGACTGGGGAAGAGCTGCCTCCTCAAAGTAGAGTTGACCGTGATGACGGAAATGGAATAAAGCTTTCCAGACCTTCATTTGATGATGGGGCACAATTGAGGAAATGAGAAAAAACAGTTGTAAATAGCCATTAATGACTGGAACATGGAATGTACACAGTATGAATCGAGGAAAATTAGAAGTTATCAAAACTGAAATGGAACCCATAAATATGGATATCCTGGGCATTAGTGTGTGGAAATGGACTGCTATTGGCCATTTTTAATCTGACAATCACATGGTCTACTCTGCCAGGAATGGCAAATTAAAGAGGAACAGTGTTGCATTTATCATCAAAAAGAACATTCCAAGGTATACCTTGAAGTATAATACTGTCTATGATAGGATAATATCCATACACCAACAAGTAAAAACAGTTAATGCCATTATTATTCAAATTGATACACCAACCTTTAAAACCAGTGATGATGAAATGTAAAGTTCTATCAACTTCTTCAGTCTGAAATCAATCAAACATGCAATCAAGGTGTATTGATAATTACTGGTGAATTGGAATGCAAAGGTTGGAAACAAAGATTAATAGTTGAAAACTATGGCCCTGTTGCTAGAATTGATGCTGGATATCCCATGATAGAATTTTGAAAGGCCAATGACTTGTTCATTGCAAATACTTTTTTAAATAACACAAAGAATGATTATACACATAGACTTCACCAGATGAAATACAAGAAATGAAATTGATTATATCTGTAGATAGAGATGGTAGAAAAGCTCCTATCGTCAGTCAAAACAAAGCCAGGGGCGGACGGTGGAATAGACCTTCAACTGCTTATATGCAAGTCCAGACTGAAGTTGAAGAAAATTAAAACAAAATATGACTTGAACATATCCCACCTGAATTTAGAGATCATCTCAAGAACAGAATTTGATGAATTAGACACTAATTACTGAAAACCAGAAGAGTTCTGCGATAACAACAAGAACATCATACAGGAAGAAAGCAAAAGGTCATTAAGGCAAGAAAGAAAAAAACAAAATGGATGTCAGTAGACTCTAAAACTTGCTCTCCAGAGTAGAGAAGCTATAGCAAATGGAAGAAATGAAGAAGTAAAAGAGCTGAACAGAAAATGTCAAAGGTCAGCTTGAGAAGACCAAGTCACATACTATAATGAAATGTGCAAAGATCTGGAGTTAGGAAACCAAAAGGGAAGAACATGCTCAGCATTTCTCAAGCTGAAAGAACTGAGAAAAAGTCAAGCCTTGCCTTGAAATACTGAAGGATTCTTTGGGCAAAATACTGAATGACGAAGAAAGCATCAAAATAAGATTGAATGAAAGCAGTCACTGTGCCAAAAAGAAATGGTCAATGTTCGACCATTTCATCAGTTAGCATACGACCAAGAGTCAATGATACTGAAGGAAGAAATCCAAGGTGCACAAAAGATATTGGCAAAGAACAAGGCTTTGGGAATTGATGGAATACAAATTGAAATATTTCAACAAACTGATGCAGCACTGGAGGCACTCACTCATCTATGCCAAAAAATTTGGAAGACAGCTACTGGACCAACTGATTTTAAGAGACCCACATTTGTGGCCATTCCAAAGAGAGGTTGACCCAATGGAATGCAAAAATTATTGGGCAATATAATTAATATCTCATGCAAGTTAAAATCCTGCTATTAATAATTCAAAAACTACTTCAACAATACATTGACAGGGAACTGCCAGAGGTTCAAGCCAGTATTAGAAGAGGATGTGGAATAAAGGGAATTAAAGCTGATGTCACAGGATCTTGACTGAAAGCAGAGAACACAAGAAAGATGTTTACTTGTGCTTTATTGAATATGCAAAGGCTTTCGATAAGTGTGGATCATGACAAGCTATGGATAACATTGAGGAGAATATTCTGGAACACTTAATAGTGCTCATAAGGAACCTGTACATAGAGCAAGAGGCAGTCATTAAAACATGGGGACAAAGAATGGTTTAAAATCAGGAAAGGTATGAACCAGGGTTGTATTCTTTCACCACACTTATTCAATGTGTATGCTGAGCAAATAATCTGAGAAGCTGGATTATACAAAGAAAAATGTGGGGGAAGACTCATTAACTACCTGTGATATACAGATGATATAACTTTGCTTGCTGAAACCAACTAGGACTTAAAATAATTACTGATGAAAATTAAAGACAACAGCAGTCAGTCTGAGTTGCACCTCAATGTAAAGAATACAAAAATCCTCACCACTGGACCAATAAACAACAAGATAAATGGAGAAAAGATGGAAGTTGTCAAAGACTTCATTTTGCTAATTAATATCAACCATCAACACTCATGAAAGCATCAGTCAAGAAGTACTGCATTGGGCAAATCTGCTGCACAAGACTCTTTAATGTGTTTAATAACGAAGATGTCAGTTTGAGGACTAAGATACACCTGACCTAATCCATGGTATTTACATTAGCCATATATGCATGTGAAAGTTGGACAATAAATAAGGTATACCATACAAAAATGATGCATTTGAGTTGTGGTGTAAGAGAAGAATATTAAAGTTGCCATGGACTTCCAAAAGAACAAACAAATTTCTGCTGTAAGAAATACAACCAGAATGCTCCTTAGAAGACAAGATGGCCAGGCTTCATCTCTCATACTTTGGACATTATCAGGAGGGACCAGTTCCTATAGAAGGGCATTATGTTTGGTAAAGTGGAGGTTTCAGCAAAAAAGAGGGAGACCTCCAATGAGATGGATTGGCACAGTGGCAGCAGCAATGAGCCCAAACGTAGTAACAATTGTGAGGATGGTTCAGAACCAAGCAGTGTCTCGTTCTGTTGTACATAGGGTTTCTATGGGTAGGAACCAAAAGGATGGCACCTAACAACAACAAGATAAGAAATTGGAAACTGGTCTGAATAAGAAATAATGAATGCTTGGGTTAGAGTAGTGCCAGTGGAGACAGAAGAGATTTGAGATATATTTAGAATTTATAATCAATAGGGACTGAATAAACAGGCTTACAAACGGCTGAATGCTGGGGTGTTAGAAAGTGACTTCCCATATTGTTAACTTAAGTAGCTGAGTAAATAGAGCTTTCACTTATTGAGGTGGAGAAACTGAGAGGCAGAATGAATTTAGTTGGAGGTTAGGAAAATATAGGAAAAAGCTCACTCTTAGCCTTCTTCATTTTGAGATATATATATATATATATATACATCCTAGTTGAGATTGTCAAGTAAGTAATTAGATATTGATTCTGGAGGTCTGAACAGTCATCTGATCTGGATGTAAAAATGTGGGGAAATATTTATATTTACATAGGAATGGACAATCTGTCTGGGCGGGGCTGATGAAAGGAGATGAGGATATGTCTCTTGTGGTACAATAGTGAGTAATAGTTATCAGGACTGACTGTGAGGGTTGGAAATGTAAAGGTAGACATTTTGTAGCAAAGGGAGGAGAGTGTTGGACTTTGCAGTCCAGGAGCGGAGGTCCCTGGGACCCTACCCAAAGAAACAGTGATGCCAGAGATGGAGGCAGAGATGATGATGTGGAGAGATAGAGCAGCTGGGGACTCTAGACCCAGAGAGGGAGAGGGGCTGTGTGCTGATGACCAGGGGGCAGGCTTGCAGGGTATACCCTTTGGTTAGTTGATAATGCATGGAGAGAATTGTAAACATGGCAATGAAAAGATATACAATAGGATGAATGCAAAGCTAATGTTCTCCCATGTAAACTATCACATAATTCACAATAAAACATTTAAAAAAAGAAAGAAAGAAAGAAAATAAATGGGAATGGATACAGTAACTTAGGTGAATAATATAGAAGGAAAAGAAAACCCAGGCCAAATCATTGTGCTTGGCAACACAGAGTTAGCAAAAACAGATTCAACAGATAAATATAAGAGATAGCCAGATAAAGTGGGTAGAAAAGGGAATGGGAGATGCCAAGATAACATGTGTTGACAACTCTTTGAACAGAGAATGATATAGATGTCTTTGGAAGAGATATTTTATTAATTAGCAAGATGTGGAAATTTTATTTCACATGTTGTTGTTAAATGTCATAAAATCAACCCTGTATAGGTTTCCAAGGAGTGACTGGTGAGTTTGAACCACCAACACTGTGGTTCAAATTGATCTTGGAGCCCACTGCATTATCCTTCAGCATCACGCCAGTCTTTTTTCCTGAAAGTACTTGATTCATTTTTATACAATGTAAAAGAAAATATACACAAATCAATGGGTTCCATTAAGAGGCAATATCATTACCTGATTCTACATCAAGGGAATATTTATCAATATCCAAATTCATAGTTTGATAGGCAGTAGTGCAAAAGTCTTCCAGAATCATATACACAGCATTGTTGACATCTGCAGGTATAGACTTGGCGAACTTCATTCGGCTATTCACCACAATGCTCCCATTTCTGAAGTTCAGGATTTCCAAGTTTTGGAATCCTGTGAGATTTGACTGGAGATAGGGAACCAGCTACAATACATGAAAAGTGGGAGGTTATTTGTGTCTTCATACACACACAACAAGCCCTTCCCCCACTTTCCTAATTATATTCTCTTCCCATTAAACTGTTAATTAACAGAAGAATTAATATGGAACTATTTGAAAATCAGGAACCCCATGACATTTGCAGAAAAGTTTTAGATGCCCAGAGAGTTTATTCTCCCTTTTTCACTAAAGGATCACAACAGTGAAGGCTTCTCCAAACCAGTTGCTATGGATGGAGTCAATTCCAATTTGTGGTGACCTCATGTGTGTCAGAATAGAACTGTGTGCCAGAGGTTTTTCATTGGCTGATTTTTCAGAAGTTGATTATTAAGTCTTTCTTCCAAGATGTCTGTGGGTGGACTTGAACTGCCAACCTTTCGGTTAGCAGCTGAGTGTATTAATAATTTGTACCATCTAGGAATTCTAAAGGAATTCTAGGTACATGCAAAACTTCTCAGATAAAAATAATACATGCAAAAGAAATCTCAAGCTTATTTTAGACCAAAATTATGAAATACAATCTTCAATCTGTCACATGTCTATATTTGTGTTTTCCATTTGTTGCATGCACTTGTCTTATTGTTTCTCTACCACCTTTAAGTCATGGTGCTATTTGTAGATGGTAGGAAATGAACAACCTTGCCTTTCTTGGCTCAGATCTTGGGTTTTGGAGAATGGAAAGAACATACATGAAAATATGGTTGCCCATGTTTTAATTTCTGTGCTTACCAACTCTAAGAATCTTTCCTCCAGGGCTTTATATTCCAAAGATTTTTTATTAAACAGATCTTCTGAAAACATCATGTTAGTCACTCGGAGGCTGAAGAAAACCACCAGAGCTCCTGCTGCATGACTTGAGTCTTCTCCTCTTGTGGGTGGAGTCACAATAGCCATTTCTGTGGAATGAACATTTGTAGACATTTCCACATAACTATCAATCTTGCCATTTTCCTCCTGGGGTAGCTCAGGCTGATAGTAATCTGTGCCTACCCAGTCCAATTCTAATGAAATATCCTGTACGCCCATAATTACTTCATCCTCCAGCTGGGTGGAGCTTGTGGTTGGAGGCAATTTGGTAGACTGTGTCATGGAAGCTTTCAACCAGAGCTTGTCAGTGCTCTCTGTTGTACTTGCCAATATGTCTTTGACCAATTTCCCTAAGAAAGTTCTTGCCCAAACTACATCTGATTCTGGCAATATGGTCCACAAAGATTGCATGTCCAGCTTCACTGTTGAATCCTCGCTGTCAAACCATTCATGGCTGGATGACTCTGAAGTCTGTCCCATATCCTCTGTTAGGAAAGAGTCTATTTGATCTGGTTTATCAGTAGAAGCAGAGATCTCTGTAGATGTCAATAGAAGAGGTGCTTTGGTAACTGAGTAATAATCAATGCCAAGTTCCTCTGGTGTGTATTTGGAAAGAATTAGAGATGCAGATTGGATTGTGGTCTCTGCAAAACGAGGAACAGTAGGCCCACCAAGAGACTCATTGTCTATAAAGTTTGTGGATCTATCATCTTGTCTGTCTTTTGAAGAATACTCAAAATTTTGATCTGTTAAATTCATTTTGTCATCTGTAACTACTTTTTCATGTTTATGCTCATTTGGCAAAAATGAATCTTCATCTTCAAGCCATGACTTGGATAGTGGTTCAGTCCTCTTCTCTAATAAAGTCCCACTCCATGGCCAAGTAATAAGATCTACCTTTTGCCTAGACCCTGAACCTAAACCACTCTCAAATGTATCTGGCAGCAAAGTGGTCACTTCTAATTGGTCTTTGACTTCAGAAGCCAAAGCAGAGTCCATGCCAGAGGGTGTGGTTACTTCTTTAGCAAGAAGATCTAATGTGGCAGGAGAGGCCAGATATGGTGAGGATGTTAAAAGGACCTCAGACTCTTTGTTGGATGGTATTGTTCCTTTCAGCACATGATGAGTGAATGGACTTGACGGCAATGGATCAACAGAAAGATAATCGTCTGACCCTTCAACATTGGTTAATCCTAAAAATAAAATTTTCCATTAATTAAGTAATATAATTGCCAAAATACATTCTGGTACTCCTAATACAACTAGCTACATGTTTTTCCCATTAAGTTAGCAGGGAAAGCTGCTGACTTTTCATTTGCTAGCATGTCTCAAGCAGAGCAAATAGTAAAGCAATCGTTACAGTAATCAGAAAGGAAGTTGAGAAATGTTTTACCAGCCTATTCTTTTCATTGGAGTCCCAGTGTGGCACTGTAGGATAAGCACTGGACTGCTAACTGCAATGTCGGTGACTCAAGCCCAGCAGCTGCTCGCTGGAAACCCTATACAGGGTTGCTACGAATTAATTTGCTAACCTCAAGGTCAGCAGTTCAAAACTATCAGGCATTACGCAGGAGGAAAATGAGGTTTTCTGCTCCCGTAAATATTTACAGCCTTGGAAATCCTATGTAGGGTCACTATGAGTCAGAACTGACTCCACTGCACACCACCACCATGAGTCAATTGGAGTTTTGGTGTGGCACCACAGAATAAGCACTCAACCACAAGATCCATTTGAATCACAAGGTCAGAGGTTCTAACTCACCAGCCACTCCTCAGAAACCCTATACAGGGTTGTTATGAATCAGAACCAATTTGATGGCATTTAGTAGCAAAAGTGAGTCAAATATCTGGCAAACAAGAAAATCTGAAAATAATTTTTTAAAGTGGGAAAAGCACCCATGAATATCCCTTCTCTAAGGACAAGTCCTCTACTATTTGACGTAGCTCATCTTCCAACTTGATTTTTTTCTAACTTCATCTTTCCTCTTGATTTTTTTCTAACTCATGAAACTAAGGAACTAGTAACAGTCATATTGACAATAAAGAAATGGAATCTAGTGGAAATTTAAGAAGCCCTAGGAAATTTAGTTTATCTTTGAACTCTCAATTTCCCTGTTATGTGTATTACACAATGTCCTTCAAGTTCACCTGAGGTTCAAAATCCTTGAGTCACTTTTTATATCTCTGCTTCTCTTCCTCTTTCACATTATGCCAGCTGTTGTCAAGTTAATTCCAACTCATGGAGACCCCATGTGTGCGGAGTACAACTTCACTCCGTAGGGTTTTCAAGGCTGTGACATTTCAGTATTAGCTTATCAGAACTTTCTTCATTGTGGATCGGTTCAAACCACCAACCTCTGAGCACTTAACTGGATGCACTGCCCAGGGATTTCATGTACATACTCTAGTCTATCCCTAAATCATATTGATTTTCCTGTTTCCGCTACAACATTTCAGAGATTATCTACTTCATTTTAATTTCATTTCTTAATCTCTGACTGCCTAGTTCAGAATCTTTCCTTCTAAAGTTTACCATTAAGATAAAAATCTCTAGATTTGATCAGCCTATTAAGAAGTTCTTTAATGTTTGTATTTACCATTCCAATCCTCAAGTAATAAACTTGTTTTTTAAACCAAAAACAAAACCAGTTGTCATTGAGTTGATTCTGCATGTCAGAGTAGAACTGTGCTCCATAGGTTTACAATGACTGATTTTTTAGAAGTAAATCACTACACTTTTCTTCCAAAGCACCTCTGGACTGACTCCAACCATCAAGCTTTCAGTTAGCAGTTGAAATCATTTATCTTTTGCACCACTCCAGAGACTCTAATGTAGTTTTTAATAGTAATTAATTAAATTCTTTACTCTTCAGTATTACCTTCAAAATATGCATTTATGGATTTCCACTTCAGTTTATCAAGTTGATTTTTTAAACTCACCTCTTTGGAGTCTTAATTCCAACCAAGTAAATCTGATTGTTCCCACTCTCACACATCTTCCCCAAGATATTTACCATTCTTGAATACTACTATCCTTTTCTCCTAAGCTTAGTCTCTTCCTCCTTTCAAAACTCTAGTCATTTGTTATAATAAAGTATAGAACTGTGTAAGAGAGCCAGAAGTCCTTTTCTCAGAAGGCACAGACAAGCCAATCTGAAGCACTGCTGGGTTGGCAGAATGAAGAGTCAAGCAGCTAACCCCTAAAACCTCTGAGGAAGAACTGAGGTCCACCTTCAAGGGAAAAGCTAATTTAGGAGTAGATACTATATCACCCAAATGGCTTTCTGACCAGAGCCCCCTACCAGCAGTGGAGGGAGGACCAGAGTTGAAATCAAGAGATGTAATACTGCCGGTAGTGGATTCGTCTGCTGAGGGCCATTCAGCTTGAAGGGTATTTTCCTGAGGGTTAAAAAAGGCCAAATTGTATCATACATAAAAGAAACTCAGAAAAAATGGTTTTAAGGTAAGAAGGCAAAGTGACGTTAGGGTTATCAGAACATGTACACTTAGATTCAAACAGATCTGTAATCACATTCCAACTCAGACACTTACTAATTGAAAAATCTAAGGGGAAACAAGTAACCTCTTGAAACTCATCTGTAAGCTGGGAAGAGATGAAATGTCACTTTTAAAAGATCTAATCAAAATGTATTTGCAGGGAGAAAATACTGTTTCTATTACTTCAGAAAGTTTTTCTCTGTAGGACTTTTTAGGAAAAGTCTTCCCTTTCTATATTTGATGTGTGTAGCATACATCAAATATAGAAAAACAATTGGCAATTTTATCCATTATTTGGAAAGATATTTAATTAATTAAAAATCTCAGTTTTCATCAGAAATCCTACTACATTAAAATGTGGCATAGCAAATGAATAATAGCAAGACTTGCGAAATGGCATCAAACTTTAAAACACAATTTCCAACTTTCTACCAAGTTTTGACTTATGCAGTACGTTTTATCTTCAAATTTAGCTTCAGGGCTAGAAAAGTAAACAGATATAAAATCTTTCAACACACTAATTATTTAATCTTATGAAGATGAGTCTATGTAAAAGCATTTAATGATGGTTAGAGGGAAAATGACCACGTCTTTTGGCAGTTTACACATCTCAACATATGCTGAGCGATGACTAACAAAGACTGAGATGTGTGCTGCACGTATTGGAATTCAGAAAACATTTCCCAGTTGTATGAAAGCTTTAAACAGAGTCATCATAAATTGACAATTATTAACCTTAAACGAACATTAGAAACACCTGGAGGGTTTTGTTTGTTTGATTGATTCCTCTTTCATAATCACATCATCTCATCACACATCCTGTAGTTGATTTCCTAAAAACAGGTCATCAGCTCCTGGAAGGAAATACCCCTTAGCCTGGATAACAAGATGATATAACATGCAAGTACTGTCATAAGGTAGAGCATATCAGAAGAGTCCCATGTATGGCAAGTGTCAAATGAAAAACCAGTATCACAAGTTAAACATTTATATTAAATAGATGCCACAATACTGACGTTATTGGAATTATAATTTAAAACTTTGAAAATGCCTAGGTAAAACTGAAAAGTTGTCTAAAGCTTATTTTCACCTTGCTTATCTACTTTAAAAAACAGGGAGGAAATTTTTTTATATATAATTCTATAATAATTATAATTCTATGTCAGATTCACATATTTGCTGTTAGGTGTTGGGTTGATTCCAACTCATAGCGACCCTATACACAACAGAAACAAACACTACATGGTCTTGTCCCATCCTTACAATTGTTACATTTGAATCCACTGCTGCTGCCACTGTGTCAATCCATCTCTTTAAGGGTCTTCCTAGAGCACTAGTAGAGTAGTGGTTACAAGTTGGGCTGCCAAACTCAAGGTCAGCAGTTCGAAACTACCAGCCATTTTGCAGAAGAAAGATGAGGTTTTCTGCTTCTGTAAAGATTGACAGCCTCAGAAACCCTATATAGGGTCACTAAGAGTTGGAACCAACTCTACTGCACACAACCACCACCATCACTCTCCTAAGTCCCTCCTGATAACATGTCGAAAGTATGAGAGACAAAGTCTTGTCATTCTGACTTCTAAGTGGTTTTGTGGCTATACTTCTTCCAACACAAATATGCTTGTTCTGCTGACAGTCTAGGTATTTTTAATACTCTTCTCTAAATGCCATGATTCTTGTATAGTCTGCCTTATTCAATGTCCAACTTTCACATGCATATGAGAAAACTGAAAATACCAGGACTTGGCTCAGGCACACCTTTGTCCTTAAACTAACCCTTTGTAGCAGATTTGCCTAATACAATACATCCTTTGATTTCTTGACTACTGCTTCCATGAATGTTGATTATGGATCCAAGCAAAATGAAGTCTTTGACAACTTCAATCTTTTCTCAATTTATCATGATGTTATTTATTGGTCCTCTGGTGAGGATTTTTTTCCCCCATTAAAATGTAATGCATATGGAAGACTGATGACTCTGATATTCATCAGTAAATATTTTAAGTCCTCTTCACTTTCAGCTAGCAAGGTTGTTTCATCTGCATACTGCAGTTTGTTAAAGAGTCTTCTTCCATACTGATACCATGTTCTTCTTCATACAATTCAGCTTCCCAAATTATTTGCTTAGCATACAGATTGAATAAGCATCATGAAAGGATACAACCCTGGCACATACCTTTCCCAATTTTAAACCATATAAATGTCCCTTTGTTCTGTTGTAATGACTACAGCTTGGTCTATACACAGGTTCCTCAGGAGCACAATCAAATGTTCTGGAACACCCATAATTTGCAATGTTATCCATAGATTTTCATGATCTCCACAGTCAAAAGCTTTTCCATAGTCAATAATGCACAAGTAAACAACTCTCTGGTATCCTCTGCTTTCAGCCAAGATCCATCTGAGATCAACAATAATATTTATAGTTCCACATGAGCTTTTAAGATCCCAGACACTATTCACCAAAGTATGATATAGAATATTACCTTTCTGGACTGTTATGTCCATTAACGATGGTGTCCCCTGAGACTATGGTCCTGGGCTCCAAAGGCTACTACTTCATTGCCTTCAGATGTTTGATAATATCTAAGACGTTTTCATATCTGCCCACTATATGCTCCACCATATTCATAGTTGTGTTTTCAGGAAAGGCAAATATCCATGTTCAAATATCCTCTTTCAAACTCTTCTATATTTTGGGCATACTCCCACTCTTCCTCTACACCTATTCAGCCTGTGTCTCTGTCTATGTAGTTCCAAGAGTATATGTTATTGCTGTTAGGTGCAATCAAGTAGGTTCTGACTTATAGCAACCTTATGCACAACAGAATGAAACACTACCTGATCATGTGCCATCCACACAATTGTTACTATGCTTAAACCCACTGCTGCTGCCACTGTGTCAAAGCATCTCGTAGGGGATCTGCCACTTTTTCACTGACCTCCACATTACCAAGCATGGTGTCCTTCTCCAGGGACTGGTCCCTCCTGATAATATGTCTGAAGTATGATGTCTCACCATCCTGGCTTCTAAGGGGCATTCTGGCTGTACTTCTTCCAACACAGATTTATTTGTTCTTCTAGTAGTTCGTGGCATTTTTAATATTCTTCTCTAACACATAACTCAAATGCTTCAATTGTTCTATGATCTTTCTCATTCACCATCCAATTTTCACATGCATATGAGGTTATAGAAAATACTGTGGCTTGGGTCATGTGCACCTTAGTCCTCAAACTGACATCTTTGCTCTTTAATAATTGAAAGAGGTCCTGTGCAGCAGATATGCATAATGCAAATTTGAGTTATTGACTCAAATTTGATAGTGGATCCAAGCAAAATGAAGTCTTTGACAACTTCAGTCTTTTGACCATTTATCATGAATATTTTTTACTGGTCCAGTTATGAGGATTTTTGTTTTCTTTACATTGAGGAGCAACCCATATGGAAGGCTGACATCTCTGACCTTCAGCAGAGTATTTTAAATCCTCTACACTTTCAGCAAGCAACATTGTATCATTTGCATATCAAACATTGTCAATGAGTCTTCCTCCGATTCTGATGCCACATTCTTCTTCACATCATCCAGCTTCTCAGATTATATGCTCAGCACACAGATTGAATAATTATGGTGAAAGAACACAACCCTGGTGCACACCTTTCCTAATGTTAAACCATTCAGTGCCCCCTTGTTCTGTATGAATGACTGCCTCTTTTTCCATGCACATGTTCCTCACAGAGCA